TAAGTTAGTCTTTGGGGATTCTGTGGATGTGAACATTTTCATGTCTACAATAGTTTGAGTACATTAGGCTACATTATCAAAAAAGGTTGGTTTGCCTCAAAAACACACACACAAATTATGTATATATGACATAATTACTTGTAAAGAAGAAAATAAACATAATCAAATGCAACTTCAACCTTTTACTGACACTTTGTAGCAAAGTGTATGTCTAGATACTAAAAAATAACAATTTATGCAGGTTTGGTTGTGAAAAATCCAGGCGAAAATGCATTTGACACAGTTTGGCAGAAAAAAGTTAAATGTGGAATATCTCAATGAAATTGAAAAATGTAGATGCTGTTACATATTTGGTCATGAAAATGCATTGTTTTCATTAAAAGATACAAATAGTTTTTTACAAACTCACTCTGAGCGTCTCCGAGCGTCTCCGTGTGTCAAAGTCGGTCAAAGGAACCCCTTTTGTACTCCTTAGCCTTTGGCTCTGATATGGAATGTTTACATTCATGCTTTTTCATGTGTTTAGGTTCCAATCCAAAACATAAATAAATGAAAATGCAAAATTCACAGTCAGATGACATTTGTTATCTAAAAATCACATCTCTCATGTGCACATACTTGTCTACACTCGTTATTCTCAACAATGACTTTGCGCCTTGCTTTAATCCTGTGTCTGTGAAATGGTTGTTGGCTTGTGGCCTGTTGCTTTATTGCTATGACACTAAATTACTATTCCGAATAGAATAACCCTATTGCTATTGAACAAAGGATGGAATATTAGTATTAGATGATAAAAGGTTTGTGGTGGATGGAATATTTCAATATAATTTGCAAAGTAACTGCACATGGATCCTTTGTATGTGAATAAACACAACATCCATCTCCTTTCTTGGTTGGTCTTTGATTATCACTATGTGATTATCACTATTGTGTCTATTGTGCACACTGTTGTAACTGTACTTCATTTGATGTATTGAGAGCGTGCCCCTGGAGCATCTGTTTGGTCATGCTAACCAAAAGCACAAGCACAGAAGGGGAATTCTGACAAACCTCAATAAACTCTCCAACAAAAGACACTGGGGAGGACCCTGATATGTGTTTCTTACAACAGCGTCTTGTAAAGGATGATCATGTTTTTGGAACTAATGCTGTCGAGACCAAAGACTTAAGTTTAGTGTTGGTTTTTTTCCTGGGTGGTGTAGGTATGTTGACACAGGCTTTGAACATGCTCGCAAATCAAAGTGTGTACAAGAATGGGGAGATTAGGGAAGGCAGAATAGGTCTAGAGCTCTACCTGTGCCGCTGGCCTTTTGTTGTTCCCCACCTGGTTAAACTGTTGGTCTTAGATCATTTACTCAGGAAATCAGTTGCTCACCCAATTGCAAAAACACTACATTGCATAATCAAGATATTTTCCCATGACATGTTTTATTAATGGTTCAAATGTTGGTTCTAACTTTCTCATTACGCTTGCATGTTGCACTGAGCCAAAGCAATTTCCAAGTCTGTGACCTCCTGTTACTTACGTGGCAATAAAAATGATTCTGATTCTGATTCTGATTCTGATGTACAGTGTACAGCTGTAGCTATTGGTCGATTGAGAATGATCTTTTTAATATGTTGACAAAGAAAGAAATATAAATATGAAGTAATACAATGCCATTTAAATCATACTTAAACATAGTATTGACATTATATCAGAGACTCTATAATCTCCAGACATTTCAATAATCAGTCATACACAAAATGCTCCTGGGTGGAATCTTTCATTGTTTTGTTAATGTCCCTGTTCCTATAATAACATACCATACATGTGTGCAACTGTCGGAATATTGTTTGCTTTATCTTGTCACACAGACCATATATTCATGTAAGATTTATTTGACGGATTTACAATTTACAGGACTTTACAGTGTCTTCTTCCACCTCAACTGCTGTCTATTAGGAGAAGAGTAACAATGGCTCGGTTTTCAAAGACATGTCCGGATAATGGACGATGTTAAAAACAGTATCACACAATGCACTTGCCTGATCTCATTTCCTGTCTTCTGAAATGTGGAGTGAGCTATATCTGCTTCACCTGTCCGTATGCCCAATGTATTGGAAAAACAAGATAGTGTGTTGTGACAACTTCACATTTGAGTGCCTTTTCCCTTCCCATCTTTTCTGAATCGCACCTTGACTTAACTTGTGATCTGAACTTTGTCCCACTATGCTGGTTTACTGAGATGGGCGGGGCAAATTAGTTCGGAAGTGAAGCTAGCCCTCCCTGACCCGATGTGGTGATAGGCCCACAGGCTGGGGATGTATCGCCCCAAATAAGACGACTTATGGAGGGGGCTGAAGGAGGAGATTACACCTGATAGGAAAGAGACTTAGCGTAAAGTCAATTGGATCCTTTGTGGAATAATCCTCTTTTTTCATCCAAGTCATTGTGATGAGTGATAAAGCTGGGCTAATGTTGCATGGAAACTATATTATAGTTTTGAGTTTCATCCGATGTTCCTCAATGTATATGTTACTGCAGAGTTTCTGCACAAATTATGTGAGGCAAAACTTAAACAAACTTATTAAACTTTGTATAATTATTTTTGGTCAGTTTGCTCATTCATCCATTTCTAACACAGAAACATGAAAAAGATCATTTTAACTGTGCAAACTACATAAAAATAGTACAAGCTTATATATCCATAATTACTTCCTTACACATGTCAATACGCTGCCAGTGGTCTGGGTAAGCACAAAAAGACATGTGTCATGTGATGCACACATTGCCTGAACGCTGAACACAGAGTCCCGTTAGCTTTAAAGCCACAGCTCTGGCTCCGAATTTACCAATGAAGAAGTACATAGAGCGTAGTATTCCCTTGCACACAGTGCAGACAATGTGGCCACCTCCATTCAGGTTCCCTGCTGCCTGAGTGAAACGTGCACATTAGATGCAGGAGTATGCCCCATGCAGGGAGGTCAATGCCATGTGAACTTCCCAACTTGTCTTTGTGATCTACTGGTAGATCGCCATCAACGTGTTAGACGCGTATTTTTTTCTTTATCCAGATATAACTCCTGGCCAATCAAGTGCCTTCTATCCCTGATTTCAGCTCACAAATGCGCAAAAGTAGGGAACAGACCAGCCTCGATTCTTGATTGGCTCTGTGGTTGCTAGGTCAAGCTCGAATCGGCTTCATCTAGGAGGCCATGTCTCGCCTACGGAAGCGTCCTCCTGCTGAGCTGTAATAAAAACCAAGCTGCACAGTGGGAGAGGGAGCAGAAAAGGGCTCTGAAGATCATCTCTAGAGAACTGCTCAGTGCTCTGGAACTGACATGGCTATAGAGAAGTCACAAAGATAGGTCACAGTGAACACCCACCACAAGAGCTGCTGCCCAAGACCCGAGGACAGAGCTCCCAGTGACATCTGAGAAACAGGAACACCTTTTCAGACTTCACTGACACACACACAGACTCAAACAATCTGTTATTTAATCTGAAAGACATGGATTAAAATAATAAACTTGAATACGCTTAAATCTGCCAAACTATGGTGACAAAAGCGGTCTGTCCACTCCTTTTCAACGCTGTCATGACAAGATGGCCAGAAAATGAAAAATAAGTTCCTCCAGAAATTAGGAGCTTTTGGACCTTCAAGGAGGAAATCACACGATAAGAGAGACTGTTTTTTTAAGACTCAAAACTGATTATCCCTTACCAAATGAGAGCAGGAATGGTACAAAAGATCCATGAAGCTCATCTTGGAATGTCAAATGTAAAGAAAGGGCTAGAGACATTCTATTTTGATGTGATATATCAAAGCAAATTGAAGACACTCCATCCATCCATCCATCCATTTTCTACCCTTTAATCCATTTCTGGGTCAGGGGGGTGGCAGTCAGAGATGCCACCCAAGTCTCATAGCACCAGCCCCTCACTGACCCTCTGCAGGTGGTGAGTCCACAGGAGGACGGCAGTGTGCGCATAGCCTTGATCTTTCAGTGGGGGCTTTGGGCAAAGTGGGGTTAAGTGTCTTGCCCAAGGACACAACGACAGCAGTCATCAGTGGGAGTCGGTGGAGAACGTGCAAATTGAAGACACTGTGATTTTTTATTTCTATCTTGTTTTGTTTCTGTCTTTCTGATCCTTTGATGTTTCTATCTTGGTTTTTTCAGCACTTTGAGTTGCCTTGTGTATGAATTGTGCTATACAAATAAACTTGCCTTGCCTTGCCATGAAGTGTTCCATCTGCAACATACAAACGCAAAAATGTCAAAGAACCAATAAAACTTCATGAAATCCCGACGATGGTTATAGATGAATCACAATGGACGCGTGTTGTGGCAGCAGGAAGCTCGTTTACTTTACGTCTGGCTCGACACACGTTAGAGAGGCGACAGTAGCTCAGTTGGTAGAGCATTGGCCTTTGAGCCAGAGGGTCGTGGGTTCGAGCCCGACTCTCACCATCGACACACACTGTCTGCTGTCGTTGTGTCCTTGGCAAGACACTTAACCTCTGGGAACACCAGCCACAGTGGGGTGGCTGCGGCGGTAAAGTGCCAAACTGCTGTTGTGTCCTTAGGCAAGAAACTTCTGGTGTGTGTGTGAATGGTTGGTGGTGGTCGGAGGGACCGATGGCACATACTGGTTGCCTCGCTTCTGTCAGTGTGCCCCAGGGCAGCTGTGGCTACAGTAATAGTTTATCACCACCGTGTATGAAGTGAATGAATAATGACATGTGAAGTGTCTTTGAGTGTCCAAAAAAGCGCTATATAAAACCGATGCATTATTATTAACATACAACATACATGTAGAGTGCTCCTAGTGGACCATGCATGGTTACATTACACACTCCATGCAAAGAAATAACATCTCTATGGCGATAATTGTGTAGAAAAGTTGTACAATACAACTTTTACGGCATCTTCTTTTGTGTTGACATCGTTCGTCGTTCTTTTGTGTATGCCGGACATTTTGACAGACAATCCTTATTCTGTGTTTTGCCTTGCAGGGGGTGGATCTTATGAACAGGCCATGCGTCTCGGAACTTTTCTCAGGTAGGATCCTTTACTGCCGAGAGTCATGTGATCTGCCCAGACACACGAGCCACCGCTTGCCAGTATTGTTGTGCTTTATTTGTGCTTGCGTCCTGAGCCACTGATCATATTTTAACTTGTATGAAATGACAACAGGTCCCATAAAGCTTTTGGCCTATATTAGCACATCTTAAGAAAATGTTATGTGGCACATCCTGAAAGTTTAAACCACCTTGTAATAGTTATACAGATGATGAATTACAGCAGGCGCGGGCTTTTTTTGTGTGTTCATTGATGTTGGGAATGATATTAGTGTTGGCTGAAGGTAGGGCTGAACTAGAATATCCAATTGTTATTTATTTTTATGACAAAGACGACACATGCGATTAGATTTACAGCTTATGTTCAAACAATTCAAAGTGTGAAACGAATTTACAGTATTTCTAAAGGATTTCAAATTCTCCTGAATTAAGGATTTTGTTTTCAAATGTTCTCAGGATGTTTCTGGAAATCTTCAACATGTTATTTCCTTTTTCAAGAAAGAACCTTTAGTCAGAAGTGTCTCGCTTTTGTTGGCCATGATAGAAAATAAATCTGTCCTAGTTGCATTAGTCATTTTGAGACTGAGCAGATATTCAGGTTATGCAGAACAATGTTTTTGAGAAAGTTCACGAAAATGTTGATTGTTGGAGCTTTCATTTAATCTCTTTTTTTCAATCATGTTTTTTCGGATGAAGACAGCAGGTTAGAGGGTTATTATTTCAGTCATTAGTAAAACCGTAATGCAGTGTATATGGATTTACAGTCATCATGTATTTATTTATGTAGGTATGTTTTTCTTTATCTAATAGGGATTGCCCCTTGACATGAATCATTTCTTATTGATCTTCACCCGTTTGCTCTGCCAAACGGTCATAGAACAAAAATGACATAAACAGCAACAGACAAAACTCTATCATACACAGTGCGACATCTAATAATGAAAGAATGTGGTGCGATTTCCCACCAAAGTAAAGACCAGAACAGTGATAATTGAACCTGTTCCTGTCTCACTCTCACAGTGATGTGATACCAGCAGCAGGGCGGATTCCGGTACTTTGACGGTCGACCTGCTCACTATGACTGGATGCTATAGAGTCATACAAATATATAAATTATAAGGCAGAGTTTTATATGCACGCCTTGATCAAACCCAACCTTCACTCAGTTTCATATTTGACTTGTGCAATCAAAGGGAATGATTTTACAATCAATCCTAAAAGTCATGCTTTGATTTATGGCAATTTATCATCACGGCACTTTGTTAAATCCTGTGGTTAAGATAGTAACACTTTTTTTATCATTTTTCATTGCTTATTATTTACCCAGATCAATCTGTTAAGAAACACTTTCACTTTTAAGGCGGCACTTTGTGGAAGACCTTTGGACGGTGGCTGCGATTGTTTTATTATTGTTTTATTGTTATGGTGTATTTGAATGCTTGTGCGGTTCATTAGTGAGATTGGCTTGTGTTGTAACTGAGGCAACATCTGGTGCAGTGCTTTGCTGGTGCACGTGGCCACAGACGCTGCTGTTGTCGCTCCTTCTTCATCACTCATACACCAATCATACACATAACTGTATCTCTTTGGCTAAAAATAGACTTGTATATAAGCATGGTTACATTTTGGTTGTTTTATGGTTGCTAACTGAGAGCAGGCTTGCATCTCCATAACATTTTTCTTCAAATCTCATGAAAGTTATGTACTGAAGCTTTGATGTGTTCATTCTTTTATTTCATTTTTTGTACGGCACTATGTCAATCAAGTTTGCTTATTGCACTATATGACTTTTTTCTTCTGTGACTTCCTGTTTCTTACAATGGCAAAGAATTCTAATTCTGAACAAAACATAATCTTGTGTATAGGAAATCGAAGATCAAATTCCCATAATATTATTGTTATAAATCTATATGTTAATTCAGGGCATGAACAAGATTACGGCAGATTGGAAATCCAAGTGTGTGCAAAAATAATTAAATAGACGCAGTGTTTTAAACATTAGAATACAATGTAGTACTGCAAATGAAAGGTCCATGGTTGTTTTATTTTTTTTCCACAAAGAGCAAAATGTGGGAAGAATCGTTTACTTCCTCCTTGTGCAGCCTCTGGGCACTGGTGGACTGACTGGTGTGAGAAGTCCTCCCAGATTAAGGCCTCAACTCTATTAACTGATTGTTTTATCAAAGACCTTTGTGAATGTATATTTCCTTGTCTTTCTTAGCGTAACGGTGCTTCACAGTACATCACAAGTCTTTTAGCTTACAAAAGGACACTTGAGTGGGCTGTCAGGCGACACTTGACACGATGTGGATGGTGGGTGTCTCTAGGTGTGGAAACAGCTCTTCCTAAAGCCCCAGAGCGATGTCACGACCGCCCAGTGTCCCAAACGTGATACGCCAAGTTCAGTAGCACAAACATATCCCGAAATGGCAGGTCGTGACTGTCCCCAGGGCAGAGATGTATTCAGCAGTTGAAAGTGAGCAACTTGTAAAAATGTATAGTCTTGGAGTATAATGATGTGTGTGTGTGTCCGATGACAAAGAAAAGATCTTAATTCTAGCTGCAAGTGGCATTGGACGGCCCTAGTAAGCTGCACCGGCCTCAGGCTCAGCTGTAATTTCCCAAAGGAGATGGCGTGACGCACCCTCATCATGGAAGAAAATTAATATTGTCATGAATAGAATCTGTGTATGGGCACTTTCATACTTTATGGCAATAACTCAAATCTGCAGCTCCACCCGTTGTACACAGTTTAAACCATTTAAATATAGTTTCTCTGTATGATTATATTATCAAGGAATGTGACAAGGGATTCATGAGGCCCCCTTTTCTTTCATTTTTTTATACATAAAAACAATCACAGACAAGCAGACAATCTATAAACAACAAACAGAATCTATACAATTATACAACAACAAAGCATGTTGTGTAGATAGTATTTTATTTATGCTACACCTCTTTAGAAGATGTGAAGTGATTCTGAGCCCTGTTAGCAGAGATAGTTGAAGTACGAACTGTCAATTTAGAAATGTCCCCACTGTGGAACAAATAAAGGATCTCTTCAATCTTAGAGTTCCAGTCATTGATACGGCAACACGAGTTATGAGTTTTGTTGACCTTTTTTTGGGATGCCAATCTAGAAAATTGTGAGGATTACAGCAAGGAGATCAGAAGACCCGAACATTGAGACGCCAAAACACAGTTCATGTGTCTAATAGAGTTTTGTAGCACCAAGAGAAAGTGCTGAAAAAGTTCGGCGGCAACAGAGCAAAGAATTGTGGGAGATCAAAAAGACAGTGTGAGAAAAAGGAAACAAGTTCACAAAGAGGCAAAATGACTCCAGACCAAGCAGAACAAACTGGACTTTCTGCTCCGGTGGCTCCTCCGCTGGTGCTAATGCCAGTGTAGCTGCAGTCCATTTAAAGTCCCCAGACATTGTAGTGAACAGCTCCATGCATACCGACATACCAGGCTGATGGTTGGCGCCCATGAGCAAGACTCCAGTGCGGAGCCCACCCAGGACTGTCCAGCGCTGCCTCGGCCACCTTCTGCCTTGTGCCTAGCCCCGGCTCCGGATCAGAGGCCGCACGTCGGGGGACAGCGGTAATGATGGCTACAGCCGGGCCATCCCTTTCAACCCTCACCCAGGAGTGCTATTTGGACTAATGCTATTTCCTGCATATAAGCGGCGTTTTACTTATTTATCCTCATCAGAGATTTTAAAAGTTGAGGTACAAACACGTTGTAATTCAGAATATATAAGCACCTTCAACATTTTGATAATGATTTTTTTAGATATTCATTTCCTCAACATATCTCCTCATAGATATCCTCATATCGCGTTATTTTCCCAATCCAGTAATCTCATCAGATTATGTGCCCCCCTTTAAGACCCCCCTTTAAGTAGCCAAATGAAGCGTGTTGGATACTTAACTCACCCAAGACGTTAATAATGGCTTCCAGCTTCAGAAGATTGATTCAGATAGTTTGCTTCACATGCTTTGAGGTGCATTTTTCATTTTTATTTTTTGGCTTACAACCCCAGGCTATGATAATTGGATCAACAGTAGAAATCTTTGCTACCATTGTTTGGCCTTTGGGTGTATTAATACAAGTATGTAAGTGATAGTAATTTGTATTGCGCATTTCACAGAGCAAGATCACTCAAAGCAATTTGCAGTGTTTTTGAACTGCATTGTTACTTATTTATTTATTTTATATATATATATATATATTACCAATCATCAATATGCACGCTACATGTATCATCTATTATTTTCACATTCTTTATTATAGCAGGAATACCCTTATTGTATGTATAACTGTACTACACTTTACTTTTTTATTTATGTATATTCAATTTTCTTATTTGAATTAACATTGATGCATACAAAGCGCTGTCTAAAATGTTCTTAAACATATTTTTGTTGCTACTTTAAACCAACCTTTTTGTTGTTTTTGTTGTTGCCTGTTTATGCCCATAGAAATAGATTATATTGCAAGTTGGAGTACACTAGTCTGTAATCAAATTAAAAATGTTTTTTACTAGGAATGTATTGGGATCTGACCAAATATGTATTAGTGGTGGAACAAATATGTTTCCTTTCCCTCAAAAGGTATTATAACAGTATATTTGCCGAAGTGAAGAATTGTCATTTTCATAAAAAAACCCTTCAGTGAATACATAAATGGACTTCCTGTCTAGAGAATGTGTGCGTCACGAAGGAGCAGCTGGCCATAGTGAGTGAGCCACTTCATATTTGTGATCTGTTCTGAGGCTCGCTGTGCTTAAGGGCAGTGGTGTCGTCAGTAACTCTGCGTGATGTGGATAATGTGAAGACGGCCTACCACACATCCGTCCGCGTGCCCCTGATCCCAATCATTCATAAAGCCGGTCCGACACACCCTATGCTCTTATCTCTGTTCTTGCTTTCTCTGTGGACATTAGAGAGCAATGGGAAATCCCGGCACATGTAAACA